AAAACTACCTACTTTCTTTAAGAATGACCACTCAAGAAATTTCGGACAAAAGTATTCACAATAAGCATATGTACCACATAAAAGTTTCTGTGAAGCCATTATGGATATGATTTTATTTTGACAAATCACACAGTGTTGTACAGTAATATAAACTGATGACGTTTCGAGCACAAATTATTACTCATAACCATATCACGTCACTCACGCAACTTTTTTGCTCCATGTATATACATGAGTAAAACTGATTGAACAAAGAGAGAAGAAACAGTGGCGCAGAATAATCTGGAACCATTTTATTTCGTTGGTTCTCATCAGCATCATCATCAGGAGAAACAAGTCATGCATTGATCAGATCGCCACATTACGGATCATCACTGAACAAAGCTTGGAATGGCAGTCACCTCTCTATCTCAACTTCATCGACTTTGAAAAGGCCTTCGACAGCGTCGATCGAGAGGTGATTTGGAAACTACTACGCTACTATGGGGTGTCACCGAAAATTATACATCTCATCCAACAGCTGTACGACAATGCTGCATGCCAAGTAATCCACAACAGGAAACTTACGGAATCCTTCGAAGTGAGGACAGGAGTAAGACAAGCTGGCTGCCTACTATCGCAAATGATTTTCCTGATTGCAGTAGACTGGATAATGCGACAAACAGCGGGAAATGAGGAAACAGGCATAAAATGGACACACACAAAACACTTGGAGGATCTGGACTTCGCCGATGATATATGTCTGATTTCCCACAAACTGGAAGATATCCAAGCGAAAAGCAACAAGTTGGCAGAAGAAGCATCCAGAGAAGATATGACTTCAGGTGAACATAGATAAAACGGAAGATTCCTGGGCAACACCATCAACAGCAACAACAACAACAACAGACAACAATCAGCATAAATGGGAGGAACCTGAAAGAAACAACCTCTTTTATCTACCTGGGAAGCATCGTTTCAACTACAGGCGTATGGAACTGACGAGGATATCAAAGCAAGAATCAGAAAACCAAGACAAGCTTTCACTAATCTCAATTCTGTTTGGAAGTCAACAACTCTCAGCATCAGAAATAAGATCCGGATTTTCAACTCCAATGTGAAGTCAGTGCTACTATACGGATCAGAGACTTGCACTGCGAGTCATCAAGAGCATCTCAAACAAACCTTCATTAACAGTTATCTTCGCTCAATACTCAAGATCAGATGGCCAGAAAAGATCGGCAGCAGGGATCTCTGGCAATGGGCGAACCAACCAGGAACCGATTGTGAAACAAATAGGCAGGAAGTAATGGAGATGGATTGGCCATACTCTGAGAAAACAAACCATCGAGTGACATCACTAGACAAGCCCTTGAGTGGAACCCGAAAGGAAAGCGGCGAGTTGGTCGTCAGTGCAAGGGTGAGTTGGATGAGGTCATGTGAAGAGGAGATGAAAACGTGTGGGCAGACTTGGAGCCAGGTGAAGACTCTAGCAGAGAACCGAACTCAATGGAGACGCACGGCTGAAGCCCTATGTTCCTCTAGGAATTGAATGACATAATAATAATCTGCTGCGTATAACCTGAATTTTTGTTATTAAAAATAAATAGTGTACAATTTTTAGCAAACCTTTGTCCATTAGCAAGCATAGTGTCAGAGCGTCATAGTAAAATAAGGCATTGAGATTTACAGGGTGTCTAAAGTGTCACGACATGTATATATATATATATGTTGGTAGAGAGAAGTTTCGTGAAAAAAAATTAGCTAACAGTTGTGTTGTTAGGGTGGTAACAAAAGACAATTAGCAATAGTTACGTAATTAAACAAGAGAAGATCAAAATTTTTAAAATTACGGTGCACATGAGGTCAGATGAGAAGTTGATGATGTAATACAGTGAGCAGAACTCAAAAGATCAAGAAAAATTATCTCTTAAGAGAGTCAAACGAAACATAAAGGGGAGGGGTGGAGTGAAAAGATAAGTTAACAAAATTAACAGAGTTAGAAAACAAAGAGTTACTAAGAAGTCAGTTACCAGGGTAATTGAAGTCCAGCGACGGATTCTTTTTGGACATATATGTTAGGCTTAAATCGTTTTATTACTATAGCTTCAGCAAACCTGAGAAGACTTGAGGTACTTTGTCTGTTAATTATTTTGAATGATTCCAGCACATCTACTCGGTGTCCTGTGTCAATCAGGTGTTTGGCGATTGAAGAGCTTAAATAATTCGGTCCCTTTAACCGGAGGCTCCTTGGTACATGTTCGCAGAATCTGACGTAGGCCCTCCTCTCTGTTCTTCCAGTGTAACTGCTCCCGCAGATACATGTGAATTGGTATACACAGTTGGAGGTAACATGTGAGGGGTACTTGTCAATCTTTGACTGCACCAGTGAAGAGGTTGTTCGAGATAGAGACTAACAACGCTGCACGGTACGTCCTAGACAAGATACGTCCTAAAACTGATTGGACATTTGAATAAAATGAGATTAAGTACATTCAGATGGGAAATAAGATATTTTTTTACAGTAAAAAATATGTAACTTGTTAGAATGCTGTAATATGAATTGAATACATTTTAACATTATTTATTATTCTCCGATTTGACTGGTAATAATATCTTCCAGATATCTGGTATTTGCATCGATTCATTTCTGTAGTATGTGTTGGGTGTAGACTCGATGAACAAGGATTCAGTAATCAATCTCTCTCTCTCTCTTAGAATTTTAACCCTCTCCCACCACGCTATTGTGTGTTTATGTGTTAATGCATGCAGTCCAATGTAGTGCTGAGCTTTTTTCTAAATTACTCATCTTCTCGGAGTCAACCATTCTTGCCTTAGCTAACTTCTTATATCCCGACAATCTAACTACTCCCGACCTACTAGTTGACCTATGTAGTTGACCTCGCTCACAGTCATTGCAGGGTATTTTGTGGTTTATATTATTTGTCTAATTGGATCAACTGACAGGGTCCTTTAACCTACACAGCTTGTCCCTGAGTGACTTTGTAGTTTTAAATGCTACTATAATTCCTGCTTTATTAAGAATCCTACGAAGGGTCTCAGATATCCTTTCCCCATGTTTATGCTATAACAGTAGATGCCTTATATTCTCTCTTATTTATGTTATTATTACTAGTTTCACAATTATTTTTATTTTGCTTTTTGCCTTTACTGATCTTCCTAATGAATTTTATAGTATGGTTCTTTGATACCAACGCTTCTTCTATCTGTCTCACTTTATCGTTTAGGCTTTTTGTTGTACTACTTAGTGTTGTTGTTCGGTTTGTTAGATACTTAAGTAAACCTGTCTTTGCAATTAAGGGATGAGATGAATTAAAGTCTAAATATCTATCTACCTTCAATTCATTTTATTTTACAGTTCAACATAGCTAATTCTCCTTGTTCATTTTCCGATTCACATGTGAGTTTTATTCCCTCTACTAGGGAGTCTATATGTGTCAAGAAGCTAGAGGCATATTCTGTTTCTAACACTGTGAAAATGTCATCCACATATTTCCATCATATTTTTGGAGTAGGATTAAATATATTAAGAGCCGTATTTTACCAGCTGTCCGTAAATATACCTGCTACGATAGGGAATATTGGTGATCCCAATGCTACACCTTCTGTTTGTCTTTGCCTTGGAATTTAAAGACAGTATATGTGAGACGTAACTGAATTCCTAAAATAATTTTCTCAATCGATGGCTTTGTCTTATGAGTAAGTTCGGGATCAGAAATTAGTTCCCTTTTAACTGCTTTTTAGGCAATATTGATTGGTATATTAGTGTAAAGACTAGTTATATCAAAACTAACCATTTTTCATTATTTTCTAATTGAATGTAATTTCAGGTAGTTTGCAGCTGATGAGAACCTGTGAAATAGAATGATATCATTTTATACTGCAAATCTGGTCTTTCTTTCTCTATCGAAATTTATCAAGAGAACCAAATGTATGGAATGTCATTTAGTTTCTTTTTCATCTCATATGAATTAGTTAGCCTAGAGTTAGAGCGATTTCTGATGAGACATAGTATTAGAGCTAAGAGTTTTGATAATTCATATGTCGGCGTATTATTTGAAATCTTCTATTGGTCTTATGGAGTTATACTCTACCACAGTGCCCAAGTTTTATACTTACTGAAAGCCAGACTAAATCTTTTGAAATGCATTCTCATATCAAAAAGTTAACAGTACCATCCAAGTGTGCATTTACACCGATAAGATCCATTGCAATTCTCAGTTATAATGTACGACTTTAGAGGGGAAACAGTGCAAATTAAATACGAAGTGGTACTACCATGAGTACCTAAAAAAGAAATCATATCTTAAATTTGACATATTAATGAACAGTTGCTGACGTCAGTCGATATCAGGATTATATGCTGAATAACTTTCAAAGTAATCAAATTTTAACCTAAAACATTAACTTATAAATTACACTGAACTCAGGGTGGCCCTACAGATTGTAAAATGATTTATAATGGCCTGAAACAAAGTCATATAAATAGTTTCACAACTGCGAATCCCTGTTTGATTTACGCAGTTAAATAATCCTGATTAATTGGGAAACCATCCCTATTGTAAATATGAGTTGACGTGTTAATGAAGAGCAGACGAATATTACTAATACTATTTGTCTCATTCTAGAGGCTAAAATTATAAACAAACTCGATCGGAATATGTATCTGACAATATGCATGAAAGGAGGAAGTCTTCATTTGACAGCTTTGTTTTTATTTTACGGTTTATTTTGACCTTGATCTGTGGCATTCTGTTATTCTTCTTCTTCTCAGGCTTACCAAATCTCATCTTCTTTGATAAGGACATACTATATTATTTCTTATTGATCAATAGAAATTTTTTCAGAATTCTCAGTGTTTTTCTTTTTAATTCTCCTCGTGAAAGAATTGGGTAAAATAAGAACTCTCTCCCAAGGTCACTTATGATTGGACTAAAAAGTCAGGCATCGATGATAGATGCTGGCCAATGATAATGTGAGAATATATCTAATCGATATTTCTGCAGGTCCAGAATGATTTAGAATCAGGGAAAATAAATTTTTTTAGCTTTCAGCTGAGTATTTTGAACTGTGACGTTTCTTGTCTAAAAATCCCAGATTTTATTGTCATTTAGAAAGAAACCAGAAGTAAATAGTTACTTATTTGTAGTCGCAAAAAAAGAAGACTGAAGATAAAAATGAATTTCTCCGAAGTTTTGAAAAAAATCCCAACACCCAACGTTTCAATGCCACAAATACCTCAGATTAGTAAATTTGGCTTAAATAATGCAAAGGAGGATATTGGCAAGGCTCCAATCAATATGACTCAGGTTTGTTTCTGTAATTCATTAATTTATCTCTTTGAAATGTATTTACATTTATAAATGTATAGACCATAGATTTCACAAATATCTTGGCATCATTTAAGCTACGACTTTACATTTTTTTCACTGTAGAATTGCTTATTACAATATCAGACTACTTAGAAAATAAAATCCATATTTCTCTAAACATTTTATTGAATAAACTGTAGCTTTTCCATGAAAAAAATAACTTGAGCATTTCTATTTACGCGGTGAAAATTTCACAAAAATCCTAGTTTTTTTAAAAAATCTAAACACCTGTTCTACAATAGTATTTTTTCTCAGTGGTAACATTATGGGTAGTAAAGGATTATTGAAGCTGAATGTGAGGAGAACCACAGTCAGTTGATTCTTTGCAAATGAAATAACTTCACATATTGTTATCTGAACTAAAACTCTAATATTTCATTTGTGTATCAGTCTTAGGCTAATGTTTGTTGTGTATGCGTGGTGATTTCTTTCTGTGCACATCGTCGGCAAGAGAACCATGTACATCTGTATCTGAATTGAATCAATAACTTAACTTTCGTGCACTTCTCTTTTTGCAAATTCATGTTTTCTGTTGATGCTTTATGTAGCTTTACTTCACGATAAAGTAGAAACGCATAAAAAGTATAAGGTTTATGTGAAAAAAAGCTTCCGAAGAAGTCTAATCCCATCATGGAACATAATAACAATTGATAAACTGATCCACTTAAGAGTTACTGAAATTTTCAACTCCTAAAGGCATTTAAAATATGATGTATGGTATATCCCTTTGTTCTTAGATGTTGGTCACGTGAAAATATCCTTGATTCAAAGTTAGATTTTCTCACTCGTCGATATCGCTTACAGCCATGCATACAATGAAAACCAGGAAGCATTAGGCTTCTTTTTCATACTCTTTCTTTACTTCTGAATGGTATGGGACTAGTGTTAAAACTCAGGACCTACAGATCATGAGGTAGACACATTACCATTCACTTATTAAATAGGAGTCCTGTGAACTACGACTTACACTTTTACGTGTTAAATTATGACTGTTCTTTTCAAGTATTGGTTTTGTAGGGATTGTGTTTGATTGGTTTGAGGGTTTCATCATGAGCTGACATCAGCTAGAGAACCAGTGGGAAACCTGGGAGTACTGGACAACTGTTTCGTCCTAGTTTGGGACTCTTCATCAGTACCCTGGGTTTTTCATATTCAAACATGTTACATTCAAAAGGAAATATTTCTGTGGTCAAATCATTGAATGCAAAAAGAAAAGAAACCTAATATAGTGTCTAAATTTACATTGATTTATTCTCTGCGAAGTTTTCACAGAAAACTTATTATTACAAATGTAAACATAAAAGGGATACATTCATGAAGTCATAACATTTTTTTATCAGGCATGATGATACCTAGTTATATGATACCCTACGTATTTGTCCACGTTAGCTAAGTGCAAAAAGTAGAACATAAGAGTTACACAACCAATTAGGGGATGGGATTTAAGGGAAATGAAGATATGTTCAGCCAAATGGGTAAGGTATATATAGGATTTTATTTAAAAATCTCATGTTACAAATAATATAGAGGATATCCATCTGAGGTGTACTCACAAAGCAAAATGCTACTGTGTTCCACTGCTCCAAAGTTTTTACATACTCTTTCCAAGTTCTTTTCATTTTTTCTTGCCTTGTAATTTGTATTCAACGAAAAATCCAACTACGCACTAAAACTAAGAATTAGCCACTGTAGTAGAATACACTTCTATATTGATATCAGTGGGAAAGATACAAACTCTCTCTTTCTCTCTCTTTGTCCTGACATTGTTCCTCTGATTGAAGACGATTCGACGCCTGTACTGTTTTTTCTTCATACAAGAAGATATATCAGATAGTCTTCCTATAATTCTTCAATCATAGTTACAGTGGGAGTGGTATTATAGCCAGCAAACTTAGCCAAAGGTAAACTTGACTGGATTAAGAACTTTATTGTCACTATAATTTAGTTAATATGACTTAATTAATTTTAATTGTTATCAAGTAGTTTAACAGACTCAATATCATACAACACCGGTCAGATCTGTCTCTTACGGGGATCAGTCAGTTAACTAAAGCATACAAAGAATAAAACTTGGGCACTGTGGTAGAGTGTAATTCCATTATGGGTAAATTTTATTTTGATAAAGTCTCACAGTGTTATACAGTAATGTTTACTGATGACGTTTCGAGCACAATTTATTGCTCATCATCATCAGTAACGTCATCAGTAAATATTACTGTATAACACTGTGAGACCTTATCAAAATGAAATTTACCCATAATGGAATTAAAGCATACAAAATTAACAAATAATAAGTAAATGAAACTGCTTAGGGATATGCCCTGAAGCGGTTACTTGCATAGACCGATGAGTCCTCCCTATGCCGTTGAGTAGAATAGGTAATTTCAGTGCATCTGTCTTCATGCCCTACATATATAGATCTATGAAAATGGCTTTATAGCATATAGGTAAAAGACATATAAACAAATTAAAGTATCTGAGAGTAAGAGTAACAGAGTGAGAAGAAGTAATAGTAGGCGATTATTGTTGATAGTAATTCAGATATATACAAAATATACAATCCCCTGAGATGTGAAACTATGGGATTAAAAGAAAATAACTGTAGTTGTGATGTTTATTATTAGAAATAAGAGAACACGAAGTTCAGCAAAGATGGTGGTCTTTTCGGCGATATCATTTTCAAAAGCAGTTGTACAATCGCATTTAAATACACAATTTTACATAAATACAATTTTTATTAGTTGATTCCACATAACTACGAAGGCGAATAAAAGGTGACAATTATTTTCACCCAGATATGGTTTACGAGAGGCTTAGAAACAAAGTTACACAGGATTAGAACGAATTACAGGTGTGTAAAAACTGAGCATGGAAACAAATTGAAATAATAATTTTCAACATGAGATGGAAGTTAGGAAGTGTGAATATAGATTACAAGAGCCTTAGAAACAAAAATTACACAGGATTAGGATATAGTTGTAAAACAGTTATTTGAAACGAATTACAAGTGTGAGCAGGAGGAGCATGGAAACAAACTTAAAATAAGTGATTTTATAACTGAGAAAACTGGAATGAGTTGAACGAAGTCAAAGAGAGAAAAATACACATACAGAGAACAAAAAAATAAAAAACTGAAGGCTAGTGGAACATACAGAACTAGGTCCATTGTCGTTGTAAAGGTTGGACTAGTTTCTTTTGAATACACATCTCCGGCTTTTCGATGCATACTGCTAGGGCTTCTGCAGTACAGAGAAGTCGGAAACACACTGCTTTTGGTAGGTTTCTGTTGACTTTGTAAATTACTTTGAATGAATCAGTTGAGATGTTGTGGTAGGTGTTGATCAGATATTCAATAATGGCACTTCTGATTGAAACGGTGTCTCCTTTTTGCAGCCATGCTGGGTAATGTTCTCTAACACTTTTTGAAAGGACGCATATACAACCACCTATGTACCTAGCTCCGCACGAGCAGGTGAACTGGTATATGCACATTGAATTCAATTTGTTCCTAAGACTCTTGTAATCTATATTCACACCTCCTAACTTCCATCTCATGTTGAAAATTATTATTTCAATTTGTTTCCATGCTCATTTTTTACATACCTGTAATTCATTCTAATCCCGTGTAATTTTGTTTCTAAGCCTCTCGTAAACCATATCTGGGTGAAAATAATTGTCACCTTTTATTCGCCTTCGTAGTTATGTGGAATCAACTAATAAAAATTGTATTTATGTAAAATTGTGTATTTAAATGCGATTGTACAACTGCTTTTGAAAATGATATCGCCGAAAAGACCACCATCTTTGCTGAACTTCGTGTTCTCTTATTTGTAATGTCCTAATGGGTATTTTCCACGATGTTTATTAATGACAGCTAATGCATATTTTAAACGGTGAATTACAATCAGCGGGATTAAAAACACGTAAATAGAACAAATAAATACGAAATATCTAAACAAAGAGAATAGCAAATTAAATCGACTTTGATAATAATTATGATGATGATAATAACAATAGTGATAATAATAACAGTATTGATATTAGTGAAGATATTAGTTTACTTAATGATGATGTGATATTTTCAAGGCTGTTTTGAAAGGTAGCAAAGGGGAAGAGAGGAGAGAATTAGGGAATGAAGAGACAAATAAGGACATGAAGATAATTAGGCGTGAGCTGACCTAATAACTGGCCAGGGCTGACATATGCTCTGAATGTACTTTATTCAGTGCATCGGTTTGATTTGCTCTTGTTGTTTCTAAAACATTTAGAGATGTGTATGTAAACGAAATATATGCCTCAATAAAGACTATTCAGTATTCAATATTTGACCGGAAACACTTAGCTTGTTATTCTGTGATGTTCGAAATTAGACAAACTAGAACATAGTTACTGAAAGGCTGAGTCACTTTCCAGATAAACTGATGTGTTTACAGGTGAACAATGATTAAGTCTATGTAGAACGACTTATATAGCTATTTCACTAGAGGACAGAATGAGTATTTAGATACACATATTTATGTGACATTTTTCGGTCTTTTTATTTGTAATGTTTTGAGTATGTAAAGGTCTTTTTGAGCTAATGATAGGCAGTTTTTTTTATGGACTTGCTGAGTCCACGATATGTTACTTTTGAAATTAATTCTTTGACATGGTCTCTTCTAATAAAATGTGTTTCTCTTTGTTTTAATCAGTATGTTTAGTTATGTTCTTTTTCAAAAAGGTGCTGAGATGTTTTTGTGTAACACACTTTTCTACAACAGCTCAAGTTTCTCATCAACACTGACCACGAAACATATGTAATTTTTATTCTGACTTCTCTAAATTCAATTTATTCTGGAGTGTATGCGTTTTAATATTGTTCCCTTGGGTTCAGAGTGGAACACAGGGCTTCAGAAGCACATCTTCACTTTGCTCTATTTTCTCCTGTCCTCTATAAC